AAGTAACAAATTAAGAACAGAACAACAACACACAATTAGTATTAATTCAATTTCGAAAATTCACAAACTGACAGCGTCATACCAATTTAATTGTCACTATCGCTAATAGCGACCTACTAGATAGATTAGTTTCGTATTTTCGCATTCATGACGATATATCTCTGTAGTTGTTCCTAAAATAACTTTTTGCTGCGAACTGGTTTATTGTGGACAAAAAACCCAAGAGACATTTTTTGTTTAGAATGAAACAGGCTATCGGAAATATATGTTTAAATGGTAAACAAATAATAAGACAAAAAGTTACATGGGAAATAAATTTTAGGGGTTGCGTTTTCCAACCCCTTACAACCATGGGTTGAAGCAAATAAATTTCTGGCTAAGTGTCTTTTTGGTAGTACAAAACGTCAGGTTAATTTCAATATTGTAACTTTTTAAATGTTCGTGAAAAAAATTGTTATACAAATTTTATGTACCCCCTTTAAGGGGCTGTATCTTAACAAGGGATGCTCCAATGGAATTTCTTTATATGAAAGATCCTATCTTTTTTTCGATGAGGAATCCTGTATACTTTAGAAATCGAATATCAACATTTTCCATTTTTTCAATGTCACATCTGTAATATGGAAACCATGCATCTGAGGCATGGTTTCCATATTACAGAAGGTGTTGATCCAATTGAAGAACAATATAAAGTTTTGAGGACATTACATAACAACTCTCTACCATTTCTCATTTTGCTTCCATTCACAGAAACATTATTGCATTTTTAGTTATCAACAATTCGTTGAAGAAGAAAGTAAAACAAATCATGAAATTATGAAACAACAAAAATTAATTGGCGCTCCGGGACGACGTCATTGATTCCAGTGGCGCATTTGCTTTTTCAGTTGCAGGAAAACCTGGAAAAACCTGCAGCACCACATCATCTGAAGATCTTGATCTAACAATGTTTTTTTTCCGTGTAATCATCCTTTATTGTCTTTATTTATTCATATCCTTTGTCTCACAACATGATCAAAAATTATCACCAAGTCGTATAAATCAGTGTAAATCCTTTTCCTTGTCGTATTCGCCCCTGGGTCCACCCCTGGTGCAGGATTGATGATTTTCCTGTCGAACCTGTTTTGGAATATGAGTCCCTTCACTGGATCCTGCTGCACCTTGTAGTTCAACGAATCGTTCGACACTACTCTGCCGGATCTCCAGTGGTAGTACCCCAAGTCGGTGATTTTGGGCAAGATCTTCTTCTTGCCTCGGAAAAACGGTTTCCAATCCTCACTGGCTAGCTTCTCCCCGAAGTCGATGTACCCGGAAATCTCGAAACCAGCCTTGGTGTAATACTTCAAGAAGATGATGGTTGACAATATCCCCACTCTGTTGGAGCGTTCTCTGAGCGCGAGATCCTGATGCAGCGGATCCCCCTTCACCATCCCTTCACTGGACAGTTCGTATGGTTTGTATGGCGGGTAGAGGTAGAGATGCACGGCAGCTAGTCTTTTCTCGAACTGCTTCCTGCTGAGAGTTTCTCCTGAGCTCCTGTAGCCCAACTCCGCTATTGCTCTGGAAACTTCGATGCTCTGGAGGTAGCATTCGTCTTGGGTGGTGCCAAGGGAGTCTAGATAGTCTTCGTAGGACTGGAAGGCCAGGAGACGGCGATCTGCCTCTATTTGTGGGGAGGCCTTCAGATGTCCTCGACTTGCCATGACTTCCAAAGGATTCTGTTCATAGAGAGGTTAGTGCTTTGGGACGGACGTCAAAAAGTGACGTTTGCTAAAGTGTCACTTTGACAGAAACTGGTTGGAATTCAGATTGATTATTGATCTTGGAGCTCGCGCTAGTGTTTTCAACGATTTTCTAGTAGACATGCGTATCTGAAGTCGAAATGCGGCATTCCGCAAGATAAACAGGGTTATTCAAGAAGATTTGGTCTGCTGTCTTCTAGTGAAATAATTCTTTGATATCAAGACTATTTTTCGAAATTATTTCCTCATGTACAGATGAACGGATCCAACCAAAGTTATGATTTCTCTAATGGAATACCCAGTATACAGCGTGACTCACGGTCGATGGTAGGTTAGACTTTTCTGAAAAACGCAAAGCATGATTTTTCTGAAAATTTCACCTCTTACATTTCCTTACCTGTTCTATCGATCTGAAATATTTTCAGTATTGCGGCGTTGCCACTTCTATCAAAACGTCCTAGCAATTATATTTTTTTAATTGGAACACCCCGTATACAGGCTGATTCACGGTGGATGGCACATTAGACGTTTCTGGTGAACCAGACAACGGATCACTTTGAAAATTTAATGGAGGGCATATTCGGACATTCTTTAGCCAACTAAAATATTTTCGACAATGCGGTGTTGCCGCTTCTATTAGAAAGCAGTAGCAACTTTGATTTTTCAAATGGAACACTCTGTATATAATATTATTTTTGGAATCTCCAACAATTGCCCGACAACTTTTCTTGATATTTCCCTATACCTATCTGTTACCGTTTTCGAAATAAAAATTAATTTCAATTTTTTTCTTCGAAAATCATGACTTCTAAAAATGCCGATATCTTT